GTGGGTATCGGTGATGGGACTGAATTTTTTTTTCTCCTTTTCGTTTCTGTAGAATGGATTGTTGGATGAATAGACGGATGGATAGATTCAAAAAGTGAGGATTCATCTATGTCATTATTCTGCAGACATACGTGTATTACTGCTGGATATCTTATTCCCTTTTTTTCTTTTTCTCTTTTTCCTTTTGTTGGTACAGGATCGTCTATTTGGCTGGGATTCACCTGCGATTGATTTTAACAACAGTGTAGCATGTCATGGAATGAGATTGCTGTGCGCATATTTTCTTTTGGGGTTTATATAAACAGCTCTTCAGTGCTATTGTCGATCTCTATCCTCTTTGACTCGAATATGTATCTATCAAGACAGGTTGCAACCCAGGCCGACATACAATCCAATAACACGCCGTACCACCACACAGCTGCAAAATATTATTTTCTATTGTATTGGGGCAGAGCGTTACGTTACGATAAGCTATTCTAAAAGCCAAATCTATATTACTTGCTCGATTCCATGCCGTGACTTGATATGGAAGAACGAAGAAACATCACGGTATGCAAGGGTATCGGGTTGTGTGAGAAAGATATCATAAAACGGTCCGTATTGAGTATAGAAGGCTTGCATGGGCAATTGCAAAAGGCGAGAAGAAGAAAGCAAACATTACATAAAAGGAGAAATGAACTAACTGCTTTTCATCCTACGGTGGTTGCCACACTGCTCCCATTCACACCGTCGTCATTCTCCAACCTCTCACGTTTGACATCCCGTTCACCAGGTCCATCACCATCACCATCGCCATCACCATCAACCACCCTCCCATCCTTCCCCTCATGGTCAAACTGATGCCTCCCCTTCGCATCCTTATTCAAACTCTCATCTCTCATCGCCAAACTAACCAAAAGTGCAAACCCTGAAATCCCCGTAATCACATACCAAACCGTCCTCAATGAATTCGCATACACAAATCGATAAATCTCCTGAACACTCTCAGGGAACGTCTTGATGATATCAAAAGCCGCGTCCGCCTGTGATCCCGGTATCAGCATCAGTGGGTTTCTCGCAACCAGTCCGCCGGCCGCCACAGCCCGCCGTACGAATCTGTCAAACTCGTTTTGAAAGATCACCGCACCCAGCGCAACACCAAAGGCCTGGCCCAAACTGCGCGCGAAGACCTGCACGGAGGTGGCGATGCCGACATCTTCGCCCTTTTGCACGGATTGGACGGCTACGACTGTTGTGGGGAATAAAAGACCGGCGCCGATGGGCATGATGATGCGCACACCGTAGAGGATGCCGCCGGTCGAGTGAGGTTTTAACAGAGCGTTAAGGCCTGTGCCGACGGTCATGATTGCCCAGCCGGCCCAGATTATCTTTTGGAAGCGGAGGGTTTTTGTCATCAATATTCCTGCGGTAATGGAAAAGGGGGCGATGAAGGCGCTGGGTTGGGTGGCAGGTTAGTGGTTGATATTTCGCCGTCTTGTGAGTAGAAGGAGTTTTGCCCCCCATGAGTTGGGCTTGTGATTGCCGTGTTCGGACGGATAGATGGGAGTACTTACGTTCCTGGTAGTGTTTCCACGGCTGAATGAAGGAGACTGTGTTGGGTGACTCCGAGAAACTGTGAAGCGTAAGTAAGTTACATGTTAGATATCCACTCAGGATACTTCATTCACTCAGAGAGATTAAGCCAACTAGGATTGAGCTTACAAAGATAATAATATAATATGATAAGCACCACAACACCAAACCATGGAAGAATACACTAGAATATCCCCCCGTCGCGGCTGTGCGGTCATGGAAAACCCGCAGTGGAATCATGGGCTCGCGGGCGTACTTCAGCTCGACAAAGATAAATAAACCCCACCCTGCTACACCTACAATGAGTGGAACGAGCACGTTCGCGGAGTCCCAGGGGTGAATTGTGCCGCCGGTCGTCAAACCTAGTAGGAATGAGGTGGTTGAGCCAACAAAAACGATGATGCCTGGAAAGTCGATGCGGGCAATTTTGGCCGTTAGTGTTGTTGTTGCCGTCTTAAGCCTGAGAGAGATGGTGAGGCCGATAATGGAGACGACGCAGATGGGAACGTTGATCCAGAATGACCATCGCCATGAAGTCCGCTCTCCTATAGCACCTCCTATGGGGACCTTTGCAACATCATCATTTGGGTTAAGAGGCTTTCCATGCAAAGAGGTAGAATTGGGGGTTGTCTCACCCCAGCTATCGTGCCAACTGCCCACGCCAGAGATACTAGGGATATGTACGAACCCCGTTCTTGAAGGGTTGTTATATCACTGATGATAACGGAAACTAGGCTGAGGTTGCCTCCGGCACCGAGACCCTTGATTGCTCGCGCAGCAACCAACCACTGCATGTGTTTCGCAGTTGCACAAAGAATACTGCCCAGTGTAAAGATGGTTAATGCGAGGTTTAGAGCCCATTTACGCCCGAAGATGTCGCTAAAGCTACCATAGAGCGGAATGGTGACCTGAAGGAGACATGTTATGTTAGCGTCGTACAGGGGCCAAAAAGGCAATAACAGTTGCCTTTGAGCCCAGAGGTTAAATATTCTATTCGATAAAGGATGAATTGAATCGGAATACAACTGACCGTCTGAGCTAACAAGAAGCCTGTTCCGCACCAGAAAAGCTGAACTGTTGTACCGGGGAGATCTCTCGCAATCGACGGCAGGATAGCTGTGATAATGACGGAGTCCAACGAAGTGATCACCGACACGAGGCAAAGCCAAAAGACCGTTAGAAAAAATGCCGCCGATTTCTTTGGTTTTTCAGGGACTGGCGATGGTAGTGGCTGCTTTTCGACATTCTCAGGTGGCATGCCTGTTAATGTCAGGCTCTCGTTGGCTGTTATAGCCATTGCTATATCCCTGGTATTTGGACCGTTTGCCGTCGTCCCTTTTGCTGTTGTGGGGTAAAGGATTTGTAATAGTGACAAAGGTAGCAAAAGGGAGAAGAGCAATAGGATGAAAGAAATAAGAAGTATAGGCCCGATACAAGAGGTGATAAAGTGATTAGAGATATACTAAAGTAATATA